TGCTTTTGATTGGACAGTTCGGACACTATTTTTCGGACAGATTTCCATTGTCCGAATTCCATTCATGCCAACCCTGAATAAAATTATATATAGTAGAATTCAAACCATTTTACAATAAACTGTATAAATGTGATAATTATATTACTGCAATTTTTCTGCACCTTTTTTAATGCGTATATATATTTATATATAACATTTACAGTATAATTTATTTTACCGTATTATTTTATTGAATCTTATATTTCATCCTTATATTTCATTGCTTCCATCTTAGAAAAGATATATATATCTCTTCTTTGATTTCAAAAAACCGCAATTAATGAAAAAAAAAATCCTTTCGTTTTTTTCACTTGACATTTAATTATTTGCACTTTTTTTCTTTTTTTTTTCTTTTTGAAAGTCAAATACCTTTCTTTCACTGGAATTGCCTACTTTAAGCTCTTAATATTTCGAAATTCAGAAATTACAGACTGGAATTATACAACTTCCGATATTTATCTCAGAAGAAAAAGTTAAATATCAGGCCGCTAATTATAATTTATAATGAGCGTGCGTCAAACAGGTTTAACGTCTCACTCTTTACTTGTAACTTCAAGACCTTTAAAATTACCTTAAATATTCAATGATCCATTCGTTATTTTCTTAAAAGTTTCTGGACCAGCTTTTCACTCTATTTTTGGATATGAAAAATTTCAAGAACTTTTGGAAGATTTTAGTAAGTCAGGGGATATGTCTCTTGATGCATTCTGCATTTTCGAAAATCAATACGTCAAGTCTCGTAAATTATTACATGTTGATTTATCACCTGAAGCGTTAGAAGCATGGCAACAAGTGCCAGATCGTGTTAAGGCTGAGTGTAAAAAGCTCGCAGAAGATGTAGAAAAAGGTGAAGAGTAATTTTTCAAAAGTACTATTTCAGAATGCTCTAATACTAACCGTATAAGTATTCTATAATATTAGGATTAGGTTATTTAAAGCGTTACGAAAAGGTTTCTTCAGAGTATAATGTAAGACACTTCGCTTATTCTGAATTTAAAGAAATAGAAGAAATAAACAAAGGTATAATTTATTAATCATTTTATAAGAATAGCTTATGAGCATGAACATGAAAACTCATATAATTATGAAAAACTTCATATAACTAAAGGTTATCACGGAACTATTTTTTCTGCCCAACACGCTGAAAAAGATTCTAAATTATTGCAGGAATAGCAGTTAGGGGATGTAACTGGAAAAAAGGTTATATTAAAAAAGCATAACAATACAACAGATATTAAAGGTTATAAAGGACTCGTTAAAGAGGTAATAATTCTTTATTTTATTTTTAAAAATATTCTGCCTTTCATATTCTATAATCTAACAAACATATTATATCTATATATAGTTATGTATATCAGCTTTGGTTAATGGACACCCCAACGTCCTTACATTCCTGGGAACTACCATCGGTACATAAATAACTATGCTTAAACTTAAAATTCATGTTAAATCATAAAAATTATTAAATAACTAATTATATAATAATACAAATTAGATCCGGAAACCAATAATTTTATAATAGTATCACAATTTGCTAATGGTGAAAATCTTCGGTCATATTTGAAAAACAAAACGACGTTCGAGGGTGTTTTTGAAATCGGTTTGACTGAACTTTTACCAATTGCAGAAAAAATTACTCTTGGACTGCAACACTTACACAAGCAAAATATTATACATAAAGATTTAGTGAGTATTAATTTCTAGTTAATTTTGAATTAAAGAATTCGTACTAAAAATATTTAAATTTCAGAGTCCTGAAAATATTTTGATAAATGATGGCATACCCAAAATTTCAGATTATGGTTCATCTACAAAAATTGATGATAATTCATTTTCTTTAAGTGTTGGTGCTTGTTTCCCCAACTATAGAGATCCTCAAGCTTTTCTTGACATATTTTTTGAACCAGACTTCGCTTCTGATATATATAGTCTGGGATTAATCCTTTGGGAACTCTCTAGCGGGGTTCTTCCGTTTTCTGTTTTTAAAGACAAAATGTGTTTAGCGTTAGGTCATTACATTATTGATAAAGGGTTCCAAAATGAAATTATTAAAGGGACACCCACAGAATATTCCCTGGCCTATAAACAATGCTGGAACATTAATCCTCAAAACCGTCCAGGACTAGATGAGGTTCTTTTAAAAATTCAACATTCCAAAGGAGAGAATAAAATAATTACTAATAATATAAAAGAGTACAATAATTTTTTAAGAAATAAAATGCTAAGTTATAGTAAATAAATTAAACTACAAGCTAGTAGTTTTTTTATTGTATCATTTTGGATTGAATATTATTAACTTTTAAAGCTAGCATAGCAGGTGATCTTTTTTGTATTACTGTAGACATTTTTTTTATGATAAATATATAGTAATTTTTAATTTTATATAGTATATATTTAAAAATATACTTATAGATTTACTAGTTAACTTAGAGTATCTAAAAATTGCATTGGATAAGGCAAAAAAAATTTTAATAAAGTGTTGAAGAGTTGACGTTTCAATCCTCAAAACCGATACGGATTCGGATTATCACCCAATCCGAACCGTAAAATCGGGTTGGGTCAAAAGTTCGGTTTGCCCGGATTAAGCCTAATTTTGAGATTTGGGTCCAGTTTTTTCTTTCACATTGCACCAATATATGGGGTTGAGTTAATAGAAACCAAGCAAATATTTTTAATAAGTTTTTTTTAAACTTTAAATAAGAATCAAATTTAATAAAATTTTTCAAATTAATTCTACAAGTTTGTAACAATTATTTAAAAAAAAAAATTTATTAAATTTGGTTAAAGTTTTGTTAATAAGTTATTCTTGTTTAAAGTTATAAAAAATTTTTATTATAAAAAATTTGCTTGATTTCTATTGACTCACCCCATAT